TCTAAGCCATAATTCAGTTAGTGATGGCAGGCAAGGGCATAAACACAGATTGAAACATTAACATCATAGCCCGAATTTTGTGCTTGGTTTTACTGAAAAGCAATAAAACAGACACGTAGAAAAAATAAAAAAAGAACGCAACGTTGCTTCGCTATTGGCACTGTTTGAATAGTGTCAGCTGCTCCAAGAGCCAGCTGCGCTTAAAGCTACGTTGAAACAAACTGCAACGACAAGACCATACTGCTGGCTTTCCTACGCCACCTGCAGTGAAGCAGATCGAGGCACTGAAGAGTTGCGGTTAGTGCGTCAGAGTTCAACTGGAACGAACGGTCCCCGAAACTGAACACGAGCGCCTGCCAAACGGTGACTCAGTAGTGGTGTCTAGCTTGCTCACCGTAGGTGTAGTAGAACTCCCAGCGCTAAGGTATTTCAACATTAAACTTCATTTCAGTGGCACTATGCCGTGGACACCGGACAAAAAGCTACCAAGAGATAGCTTGACTGGGTCCTGGGACCTAGCACGGAAAGGAAATGAATGATTTAAAACCGGTTTTATTTAAACATTTCTTAAATTACACAAAACAATTCAACACATTTCATAAACATTACTATCAAAGCAGTTGAAAATATTCCAATAAACTTCCCGCGAAACAATTCAGCTAAACAAAAAAAGTGCCCACGATTTTCTAGCTATATAACAAATATCAATGCGGTTCATGCAAATATTGTTGAGCAGTGCTGGTAGGTTATTAGCAAAAGACTTCTCTGCATAATTTGTACGGAAATTTTTAGCAGTCCAGACCTTTCTGTGACGAGCATTGTTGACTGATTTACGTTTAGTCGGGTTTTGCTAGATCCGTAAAAAAGCAATTAACTCCAAAGTTAAGAAGACGAAAGCCAATAACAAGCGATTATCATAGACACTGGAAAACTTTATGACATAGCAGCTCAAAACTAAAGGTTCGACACGTGTGTTGTATGTAACATTTGCAATAAAACTACGCATTTCGTTTCTGAAGAATCATTAGTTTGTTGATATAACTTTTTGTTGTGCCCCAGACTAAATGGCAAGAGTTGATTTCTGAACAAAACAGGGCATGATAAATTTGAATCTTATCTTTTGTAGACAAAAGCGAGCGACAGTGACCGATAATACCAACTACCTTTGCCAGTTTGTGTGTTAGTAATTTTATATGATGATTCAATTGCGTATACTCTGAAAAAATGACGCCTTGCGTTTTATGATGAAACTATTTCAACCTGGTGCTACGAAATTTAGGTGCATAATTATATCAATATTTTTATTTACTGGTATAAAGGAAACGCTTCCGTTTTAGCAGTATTTGTTTCAAGACCGTTCTGTTCTCACCCCAAAAGAAACTTCTCCAAGACAAAATTACCTTTAATTATCAGTTCATCAATATTCGTCGCAGTAATGAAAATACTAAAATCATCCGAATGCATTATAAAACGTGATTGTTTACAGACGTTCACCATGACATTAATATACACATTGCACAGAAGTGGGCCATGTATGCTGCCCTGGGGAACACCAGACTTTGATAGTTGCAGCGAAGAATTTAACCATTTGCTGTGATAGATTGCTTGTGATGGTATGAAAGAATAATTCATAGAGACGTCCCCAGTACACCACGATAGGAAACTTTTTCAAGAAGCTTTGTATAATTAAGAGAATCGAAAGCTTTGCTAAAATAAATGAGTGTCCGTTAACACTGAATGTTTATTTTTAAAAAAAGTCGTCGAAACGACGAAAACTATTTTGTTCTCGCCCTTCAGAAAATGTGGGTAGTACGGGCTATAATTTGTAGCTGTATTTTTTCACCTCCCTTACGCAAAACAAAAACTTTTGCGAGTTTCATGGTGATGGGAACTTCCCAGTTGACAAGTCCAAGTTAAATATATACCGGGTGTTTTTTTATTTAGCTACACCAAATTTTCAAAAGAAGAACAGCTGCGTTGGGGCGCTTTTAGTTATGCGATTAGCATACCCTACCCGGGGCCCACTAGGAGCCAAGTATTTTGTGAAACTAGGCGACTAATTAACGGAGATCTCTTAATTACCTTTTGAAATATTGTTTCAGAGGGACTATTGCATTTACGAAATTGAAGCCCAACCTTAATATGTTCCAACCCCACAGGGAAGTAAAAGCACAAACAATTTCTGCGCGCGTTTTTGGCTAAATTATTTCATTCCCGCAGGCTCTTTCAAACCGAAAGTGACCAGAACATAGAGCGTCAATGACGTCGATATCTTCGCCCTCGCTTGGCGTCACAGCAGTGACGTCACCTGTGATGCAGGCACTGCCGCCAGCGCTTTTGCAATACGTTGCTCGTTCCTTAGTGTTTTGCTTATCGCGGTAGGTGTAATTTAGGCGTCTGCCAGAAAAACGGAACTGCCAAAGCCCCAAAATGCCACCGAAGCAGACGAACAAGTGTTCGCTACTTTCGTTCTGCACAAGTGCCGCCTGGTCATGCTTGCTTTGGTTTCGGTAGTCATGGTTATTTGTCTCACGGAAACTTTTTGAATTAAAGTGAATGCTTCCAGAAAAGTGTTCCACATGGCTTTAACAACATTTATATGACATTTTTTTAGTAATATTCAATTATAATTTAATCTCAGTTAGCGGAATTATCATTTTATTCCACGTGAAACCATTTCCACGTGACACATAGCAAAAATACGCGCACTGAAAAAAGAACATATTGGGGCATCCTTTGAACACACGTTCTGGGACAACGACCGCAAAAGTCAACTGCATGCTTAGAAAATGTTTGACATAGTCGACAAGTAGAAAAATATTTTGCTTCACCAACGTAATTCTCTATACAAATTAGAAACAAAAGCAACACAAGTGTTATATGATGAAACCATGGGAAACCCCATGCTTATTATTTTTTTTTAATTAGCAAAGTATTGCCCGTCCCGACATTCAGTCTGTCACCTTAAATAACTATCATCGTCCGACAGTGTGGCAAGAGTTATTAGTCCTTAGTTGTTTATACAGCAGAAAGGTTTGTCTGCCAGAACATGGCGACGAATGTGTGGTACCTGTCCTTGCTACTGTAGGTCTTTTGGTGCCTGATGAAGGGGAAATTCAAAGATAGGCCTCTAGTGGAGCCTGGGCTGTCAATACGCTATACTCGGGACAACTTTCTCTGGCATTTCCCGGGCCAGCAAAGCTGTAATCGGCTCTCGATTTGCGCGAGTGCACGGGTATCGAAAGCTTTGGCTTCATTGCCAGGAAAAGTTGTCCCCACAACCCAGAATGATGGTACTTCAACTTCACCTGCTGCTGCCAGCACGTGCAATGCCAAGGTTCTATGGACTATGTAAATTAACGCATAACCGCGTGGGTTGCACGTGCACTACCTGTAGTAAAAGAACAGAACCACCCCTACCGAGCTTCTCGCACCGAATATATTTTAAGGTGTCGCATGAATCTTTGAACTTCTTGCGTTCGAAACGCGCCAAACATATCATAAGAACAAAGAAGCATTCCTTTCAGACTCGCGTCTAATAAATCCGCTGGCGCACACAAGCTGAACTCTGTCCACAATCCTTGATGTGGCAAATTCTATCAAAAGTTTTACACGGGCGACCACCTCGTACAAAAGAGTAGTTATTTGTCGCTTCCGAAACCGAAACGCAAAGAGAAATAACTGCAAGGCGATGAACGCTGTTACATTTGTAGGTCTGCCGTTGACCTAAGAACCGCCATTAACATGCGAAAAGTCACACTGATATTTCAGCCACTATATGGGACTGAGATTCCGAGAAGGCCTATTTAAGACACGAACGGAGTTGTGACGATTATCAAATGGCTAACAATGCAGGTACAAAGCTGTGAAATAAAAACATGCAAGGCAAGCTTTTGGAAAAATAGTTAAAAAAACAACCAAATGCAATGCGGTTCACATCAGAAAATAAGTAAACAGAAAACTTTGACCAGTTTCGAACGCACGCGTCTTCCACGGCAAATAAGGCTATGGTGATGCGGCAATTTGAATTTGGGTAAAACATTCGTTAAATAACTAAGATGTTTAGAATAACTTTATAAGCTTGTACTAGATTAACCAAATCAAATATTTCACGATGATGGGAAGTGGTGAGATTATTATTGATCCCGCCAGCGCGATAAAAGCGGCGTCGTCATAGTTGAAACTTCCCCGAACTATCAGAAATAGCCCTTATTGTAAAATGCGATTACGTAATTATTTCCCAAGCTATATTTTGTAATAAAGTTTAATGAAAGGTTTTAACAAAAACGAAACAAACAAACAAAAACCGCCGGAAAATGTCTCGTTTAAACAAATATATTTTGCGAAGGTGGGGAGCTATACTTGTGAAACTCCTTTGTGGGTGACTAATAATGCGTCTTGCGTTTTCCATTTCCGTTTTATTTATTTTGTATATAATAAATGCAGTATATGTGCAGATACATGGGTGTCATACACCGTAGAGAGAAGAAAGCAAGCCGGAAGTTAACAAAAGGCGACCTTTATAACAAAGGACATAATTTCGTCGCCCGCATTTTCAGCCAGATATTAACAACCCCTCGATCACGAATTCATAATGTGAAATACATGTACCGAAGAACTGTAAAACCACGAAAAGACGCAATTTGTGGTACAATTCTATCTCTTTTGTCACTTATTCTTAGATCCCGCGAACAGGCTCAGCCAAAGCGGGAAACCGTGCTTTTGCGATAAGCCGGCGCATGCCGAACGGATGTCAAACTACCAATTAGGCAGGCGGCAGCCGGCCTCATTTCTGCTACAGCTACGCGGCGCATGGTTACAACTTCACCGCAGCAGATCGGCACCGACACGCCAACCTCGAAGGCTGTCGCCCTCCCTCTTAACAACGGATGACGTGCAGCTTGAGCCAACGCATACACCCAAGATTGCATCTCACCGAAACCTTCCTGGTTTTTGCTGTCGTTGAAGTGGAGGAGTGATGGAGACAGCTGCCTCGTACGATGGCCACCAGACGTCAGATAATCTTCTTCAATACCTGTCTGGCTTTCGGAGTCCTTGTTCTGGTACTACAGTTCGTCTACACGAAGAGGTCGTCCGTGGTGGAGTCACCGAACGCTCAAGACTATGGATCCGGACCCTACTTCACAGCTGACGATGCTGTTTGGCTCGATTCATGGAGGCAAGCAAGTCCAAACGTCTATCTCTTCTCGGCGTACCTGGACTCCAGACTGGGACCCAACCAGACGACCATTCGGGTTATTGGAGCTGTCCGACAGAGGCCCGCGCTGAAGGTAGCATACAGTTGCCTTGTGGACGACGATACCAAAAAACGTACGCGTCCGATCGTCGCTAAAATGACTATTCTCCAGGTGAGCACTTTTGAGCTTCTTGTGTACTTGTGAAACGCGTAGGAGGGGGAGGGGGGATCTATAAGCGGTAATCATTAGGCAGAAGCGTAAAACGTTACTGTACAAGGACTGTTCGCGCCAATTTCTGCAAATAAAGTAAGTCCGGATAAGTATACAAAACCCGGTATGCCAATGTGCTTTCAGGATACAGGCTTGAGGTCCAGGTAAGCCATCATGTTTCCGGTCTACAGAGCGTACACAAGTCGCAACCCCTAGAAGCAGCCGTTTTGATAAAAAAGTAGTTTGTATAACAGCTGGCCTGTGCTATTACCCTTATTACAGTATATGAGTCGCATCTTTGTATAAGTTTCACATCTTTATACTGTCGACACGGCGAAACTGTAGTAATACTAAACCCGCAACGTATATGTACATTGTGATCACAATATACACGCAAGCGACAGCCAGTTTCTATATTCTCGCTAACGAATCAAACGAGAGATAAAACTCCTGCGGCGTACATCTCGCACAGTTCGCACGTGTAAGAAAAAACAAAAACAACATATGTCTCACCGTTTGATAAGATGCACACACGAAAATTTTAGACATAACCCACAACACCGGAAAAGTAGGTTTTTAATATCCAATCCAATATATTTTAATAAAATATTAAAACAAAAAATGACAATCTTAAATAAGAAACAACAGCATACACGGAAACGCAGCTTTGCTCTTAGATGAAATAAACTATGCAATGCACATCGGACGCTGAATTAAACGTTTTTTTGATGGACCACCAGCGCTTGACGAATTCAGAAATGTGGAAGTCGTAACTGGTGGATTCGCACAGCAGAGCGAGCAGTGACGCCACAAAATGCGGCAACTTTCAAATAAAACAAAAACAAAAACGTATCACGCATTTGTTTTAGCAAAACAAACGGTAACAAATGCCTAACCGTTCAGTTCGAGCACTTTATGTTTTGATTAAGGATGCAAAGACTTACAAGTTTGTAGAAAAGTTGAGTGGGGTAGAAGCAAACGTGGGGAAACGTGTGATGCTGCAGTTTTTGTAGGCATTGTATTTGTGCCAACTGAGAAAGTCAGCACGCGCCTCAAAAGATATATTCATACCACTGATACGAACGCTATCTGTATAGGACTACGGAATTATATGTGGGTTGTATATTTCTTTCTTTCATTTCTGACAAAAATGTTTTTTTTAAACGACCATACATCTCGGCACGTATCCATTATCTGCAAATTGTTTAGAGCACATTAATAGGACCACATCAAATCCGCTTGTGAATTTACTTTGTGTTGCCATTATGTCTCGTTGGGACAGTTTTCTTTATAGTAGCGTTCAGAGCGACCGAAACTGCATCAACGAAAAAATCAACGGGCCAGAAATTTCCCATGGAACGTGATAAACAGTGCAAGAGGAAGCTTTGTGAAGAAAACAAGAGTTATCGCTGCAACGGTGTTCCGGTTGCTGATATCGTTTTGGTCACTGAGCGCAACTGACGCAAATGTGTGAACCAGAGGTACAAGAGCGTAGGTCACGCTTTGTCTGCTTCGCACCGTGCACGCGCGCTTGTGTCCTAGCGAGCATCCTTCAACGTATCTCTCGCGTGTTAGACACTCGAGGGCAACGTTGCAGTCAAGGATACGAGAGGGTATGTTTGAGCGTCGACTGAAGCTGGGAACACGCACTCCTATCTTCGATAATCCACAGAAAGTGTCCTACTTTCGCTTAAAAGGTTAGAAGGCTAAAAGGTTAACTAGCCCCGACCAAAGTTTTATTACTTTCGCTTCCTTGCACGGGATGCCTTTACAACTACACGTTTATTATTTTTCAAGTAACGTTTGTAGATATTTATATTATATTAGATTTTTTTTGTTTACGTATTTTAGGTTCCTTAAATAGCACACTCAACTTTCTGATCTGGTGAAAACAGTGTGCCTGATAACAAAATAAAAATGATCAAAGGTAGCTGCTCCAGGTCACTGAACGGCGCGCCGAGGAATGCAAAGAGAAAGAAACATACGAGTAGTGCTATCATGGAATGTCGGCTTCGTCCATACTCTCTTTAACTTTAACTGGAATTTTCCAAGCAGTGTGAATAATCACTGCGGGCCTTTAATTATCGTTTTTTTTACGTCACGCATAAGCCAGAGAAACATTCGTGTCGCTGTTGTCGCGTGCCTGGCCTCCTCCTTGAACAGTGACCTACTCTAAACACGCAGTGCAGACGTTCCGGTGACTTGTGGCGTAAGCAGACGTAATCTTTCGTAACGTAACGTAAGAAAGCGGGACTGTTTGAGCCAGCCTCGACTCTAATTTAAGAGCCGAATACTGATTCCAGGACGTGTCAGACGACGGGAGCTCCGTTCACCCTCAAACTGAGACTAGAAGCTCCGCCTTCAGCACGAGCTATCTGCCCTTGCTAACACAGGTTTGAACGCGGAGGCACGCACAACTAAAGCACTGCGGAATCCAGCGAGCTCGCACTGAGGCGGAGCTTCCATTTTAGCTTAAAGGTGAACGGAGAATAAGGAGTATTCACTATACTTCGTTTCAGCTTCGGTCCAGACGCAGCCAAACCTACAAGCGCGAGCTCCGGGCTTTTAGCATCCCTGCCAAGCACGCGCGCTCGTGCAGTGCAAGCACTGTTCTGGGAAAATAAGCGCCAAAAAAACACGGACAAAGAGTAGATTGACAACGACACAGGGCGCACTCTCAACTGAATTTATTAGGAAAAAACACAAACTTATATACCAATGGGAGCACACTATCAGACACCACACGTCACATTAGTCTCCGCCCAGACCACGTTTCAAATATTCAAACTCATTCGTAGACAGAGCCAATGATGTATCGCTAATGCATTTTTTACCCCTTCTCCTAATCTCAAATGCCTCGTGAAGCTCGCGTGACACTTTGTTTCTGTACCTCGCCAATATTTTAGTGCTGTCAAATGATGGGTCGCAAGTGCATCTTTTGCAATGTACAGCCAAATGCCCTGACGGTGTACGCGACGGTGATTGCGCAACCGCCGTCGTTTATGAAATACCAATGACGTGTGGTTTAAGCTATGTAGGGCAGACTGGAAGGTGTATTAATGATCGGGTCCGCGAGCACGCCGCTTCAACTAGAACTACACCGTCAGGGCATTTGGCTGTACATTGCAAAAGATGCACTTGCGACCCATCATTTGACAGCACTAAAATATTGGCGAGGTACAGAAAGAAAGTGTCACGCGAGCTTCACGAGGCATTTGAGATTAGGAGAAGGGGTAAAAAATGCATTAGCGATACATCATTGGCTCTGTCTACGAATGAGTTTGAATATTTGAAACGTGGTCTGGGCGGAGACTAATGTGACGTGTGGTGTCTGATAGTGTGCTCCCATTGGTATATAAGTTTGTGTTTTTTCCTAATAAATTCAGTTGAGAGTGCGCCCTGTGTCGTTGTCAATCTACTCTTTGTCCGTGTTTTTTTGGCGCTTATTTTCCCACGATGTACCAACTGGCCCATCTAAGCATTTTACTGTTCTGGGCCACATGCTTGCGCTTGTAGCATCGGCTGCGTCTGGACCGAAGCTGAAACGAAGTATAGACGCCATATTTTTGGGTGCTGTTTAGAGCGCATGCTCAGAACGAGCTCACATTAATGGGCTGCTAAGACCGGCATTTTCGATGGTGCGAAATGCACGTTGCAAAAGAACTGTGGAAGCTCGCCATCAGCACGCGCTCAGCATTCGCGCACACAGCTATGGCCGCCAGTGAATACTCCCTCTAATACGACGTAGTCTCGCGCCAATGCTTGGAAATAATTGCTCCCGAGCTATCCTTTTCTTCACCTTCTCATTACAACTGTGGCCGTGATTCTTATCACCTTCTAATTTTAGAAGGTACTGTCACCGCTACTATACATACTCTGCCTGTTCTATCGGTATTAGAGGTTTTGATGTTCGTCTGGGTTGCATAATTATGTGTGCAACACTCTAAAGATGCCATCGAAATATATTCCTCGTACACTGCAAGCTCAAAGTTAGGTTTAATTTGCCTTTAACGTGGAATGCAAAGAAAGTTTCAGCCGCGAGCTCACGCTTTAGTAGAAGTTGTTGCCTCACGAGACTTCGTGCAGTTAAGACTTTTCACGGCTACGACCTCGCGAATGCAGCCTTTCCTGAAGTCCACAGCATGGCTGAGTGGGAGTGCGGATGACCGGATTCGTTTATGTCTTCACTAAAAACAGTTTAAAAGTTTCTACATTTTTAGTTTTATAACAGAAAATTATTATTTCGTGTTTTCGGAGCTCAAATATCGAGTACTTCACTCAAGCCTTCGCCAACACAACCTGAAGCAATATCTTTCTTAAATATTGCGCCTGTGCTCGCTGTCTCGTGAAATGGCTTATTTTGAAGCTTACTGAATCTACGTGACGCTGACGAGCCTGTAAATTCTCCCCGTATTATTTCCAGGAGCACCATCATCACAAGTTCACCGGCGTTTTCTTTCTGTGTCCTTATTCGTGGGACCCCTCCAGCGAGGCCCCCCGAACAGTTCGCCTGGGAGTCAGCGGTGCCGAGTTCGGAACATCACAAAGTGTTTCAATCCACAACCGCCCCACGACTGAACATCTTCCGGACCATTCTCTAGCCCTCTGTGTCCGTCCTTTTTACGACGGCGTGCCGAAGCTTCACGACCTAGTACATTTCGTCGCGTACTACTCGACTCACGGCGTACGGCGCTTTACATTTTACGACAACGACTCCCGACCAGAAGTCAGGGATTACCTTCGGACGCTTTCCAAACACCTGCAAGTAGATCTCATCTCCTGGAATTCTCCGAACACCAGATTGTCGTGGGCATTGTATCAGAACGCCTTCACTCAGGACTGCTTGTACCGCCACATGCACGCCTCGAAGTACGTCCTCATTGTAGACTTGGACGAGTTTGTGTTTCCGTTTCCCAAGAGGAACAAGCCGACGAGACTCGTCGATATCTTGCCGTCGTTTCAGAGGTCCAAGTCCTGCTTTATGTTTCGGAACGTCTTCTGGATGCGGGAAGCGTCTAGCGAAGACGAGCCGTTCATCTTCAAGTCGGTCCAGCGGAGCAAAAGGGTGTGGCCTCCAATGTTGAGGACTAAGTACGTGGCTAGAGTAATGGACGTCGTTGAGGGCGGGATACATTACTGCATCAAGTACCTCGACTCTCTGGGCAAGAACCGGCACTCCGTCGTTGGTAGCGCGCACATGTTTCACTACAAGCAGAAAAGGACAGAACAGTACACAAAAGACCGCGTCATGCTGGTGTGGCGAGAGAGCGTGATGAAATCACCTATTATGCGCGCCTACTTGTCACCGAGTACAGAGCCGCCGGGGCTCCTAGAGGAACTCAAGCAGTTCATGCGATTTGCATGGTAAACAACGGACATCGAAAAGTGTGGGGACAATGAGCGTCACACGAGTAGTGTAGCGAAAATTATCACGAAATTATGTGAGGTTTTTATTCCACATAGTTTTTTGTTTTACACAGTCGATCATGTTCACGTTCTTGTTGGGTTGTTGCCGTTAATGTGGTTTTTTTTTTATAGGGCAACTAGTTGTCTGGCTAGGTGGGGTGAGGAAGGAAGTGGGTGATACCAAAGATGGTGAAAACGATAAAGTGAAAATTGATCAGAGTACGAAATTGACGACGGTATGATTGAGACCGATCTATACTGGCTTTGCTCATCATAGGCCATCATAACAAAACATTTAGCGCAGAAAGCTCTAGCCGGCCCGGAGGGCGTTGCCTGCGATTCCTTAATTCCTTGTAGTGAAATAACGTTCTCTTTATATGTCGCTGATTTGTCACCTTGAGATGAGATTGAAAATATAAGTGTCTGGCTAACTTTAAAAAAAAAAAGAGAAAACCAGACACTGCGTTCTGGAAGTACCGAATTCATTCAGCTACATTGTGCACCAAAAGAAGCTAAGGCCTCATCAATAAAAAAAACGTGGCACGCATTCTGATTATAGCTATCGAAGGGTCTGGGCCTTAAAGGCCGACGACCAGACTCGAGATTCTGCAAGGCAGAAGATCCTCCTCACCATGGGGGGTATTATACACACATGTAGATATGTGCCACTAGAATCAGGTGAACATATGCATTGAGCGCATGCACATACACGGCAACAAACATGGACACAACAGGACACCCGATCACTACCTCTGAGCTCTGCGTTTCCGCCTTTTATACTGGTTGTTTTGAAGTTTCGAATTTTCTCGGTGACCGCGTAAGCAATAAATAATATTCAAACCATGCTGATTTGTTTTCAGTAATGTCATACCTAGCAGAGTATTTTGAACGGCTTAGGGGAGGAATCTCTTACTAAAAACGTAACGCTGATGCCGTAATTATTTGAAAGCCAATAAAACAAGCCGCTCCACTGCGGTTCCAAGTAATGTGTTTGCTTTCTCTCACGGCACGCTGTATACTGAAAAAAAAATTACATGAATTTATTTCTGATATGTTTTAATATCAGAACTTATATATGCAAATCAGTTCTTATATGTCGTATAACAGTTTTTGGGTTAGTCATATCAGTCTCATATGTCGCATATATATTTTGGATATTTCATGTCAGTTTCATATGTCGCATATAAGTTTTTGGGTACTTCATATCAGTTCTTATATAGATTTATATAATTTTTGTTACTAGGGTATAACTATCGAATAAGATGAAGGTAAGTTTTTAAAGTTTGGCATCTGTTTCGAACCCCTAGGGATTCATTTGCGCAAAGAACGAGTGTTTGGCGATACGCAGTTTACATTTTGCGGCAATAAAACCCCAGTAAAAGTGTTGAGGGCATACCCTTAGACGCCGTGCCGTTTTCATTCCATCAGGAACTATACCTAGTAACCTTCCAATGTCAAATTGTAATTTGCTTTGCAACACTGAGGATAGCTGCCCCCGTGCCTACAGGATTATAATCAGGAAGAAACACTCCCTCGGCTTCGTCATTCGCTGCGTTGGCCTGACTTTTTCCATGTGTCGCAAGAGACACACGACCTCGTACAGACACAGTACGCCCATTACTATAATGAATACCGTAAATGCAAGTGTACACAAGCTGATACGCGATTAGCACGCAGGAAAACAAGTCGCCTCATTGAAAAGTCATATCCGGTGATGACTAAAAAGAGCTTCCTCAGAATGAAGAACTTGTCAGCACATGTTGCTCAAATAGCCACTGCTAATTCGACGCGAAAACAGACCTCGTGTTCGGCGGCCTGACACGGGCGTACGAGTGCGGAATTGCACCATCCCTTTGTGACCCGTCGTTTTGGCGCGTTTAGCCAACGGCGTCATTGTTTCGAAACCCCAGAGCGCGCCGAAGGACTTGCGTCGCTGGGTTAGCGATATGGGCCCCTCTCTCGACATGGTGAGCGAATGCAAATCGCAGGTACGTGAGTTCCACACAGGGTCGTTCATTTGATGATTGTCACCGAGGCCATTGCGTAGATCAGTTTTTTTTCCCATATTTGTTTTTTGTATGCTTTTACCTGTTTCTGGTTGGGTTGTCTTGTATCTAAGGTATTCCAAAATTCAAATTTCAAGACTCAAAAGTTAACTTGTTGCTGAAAAAAAGGAACTGTTGTTTGGAATTCTCCGAATCGACACAGAAATTTATAATGGTGAACCTAAATAAAGGTTGACCAAGAATAAACATTGTGAATGCAAAAAAAGAAAATCTTTATATGCAATACACTTTTCAAAACAAATCTAGTGACACGCAAGCAACACGAACGTCACCGTGTCTCAATCCAGCATGAAACTATATAACTAATAAATAAAAGTCGAAATTTTCATTTTTAACCAATTTGTTTAAGTTAATTATAAAATTTACATGGACTTACGATGCTCTAAGTAATTTATTTATTAAAAATTATTTGGCCGTTAGTCCTTAATAATTTGAATTTTATAGGGGTGTATTGAAATCATTCGAAGTAAAAATGCATTAATGTAAAAAAAAAATGATCATACCTAAATATTTGCGGAGTCCTATCCACATAAGAAAAGAGTTAGGGCTCTTTTCTCGGTGACTTGTTTCATTGTGTTGAACGCTAATACAATGATCAGTCCTTGATCTTGGATTATAGCGTACCCTGTACAATATTAAACGTTGATAAAAGATAAAAATTTTACCCATCTTGTTTCATCTTTGGCTAAACTCTGCATATATAATACTCGCAGCCTGCTCTTTTTCGTATTTCTCTGCTTCGAAGAAAACGTACTAAAAAGTAGGAGAGTGTTTTTTTTCACCATTGCATTTGAAACAAATAATTCAATCTCTTAGGTGTCATCTCCCAGTGTTGCGTGAAAGCATTTCGAAGATTTAAAACGACTGGCGCAACGGGGGAAGCGCGCGGGGAAAGAATGTAGGTTTCGTGCGCGGGCTAACACAACTCGGAACCACATAGAAAGACAGTTGACACTTCAGGCTCAGGTGCTACGTGTTCAATCCTAAGTCCCGTCTCTGCGTGCATTTGTGTGGTCTGTAATACGTGATGCAGGTTCAGCAATACAAATTTTCAGTCCTACTGCCTCGAATCAAGGTGACCCTCTACGATGGAAGAGCAAGTCAGCCGGTAATTCCAGGCCAGACCCTGGGATAATTGAAGCTGCTCAAGGATAATAAAATCGGTCTGATTGATTCTTCGGGCGTTTCTTTTTGGCTCCTATAGTTACATGTTTGTTTTCCAAAGGAGCACAAATGCTGAAGCTTAAGACCTTCGTGGCACTTCGAAGACCCGAAGCTAGCAGTTGTACCGCGGTGGGTGATTTAATATTCTGCATCGTGAACCAAATTATTTCATACAATACTATATCCACCGAATGCTGTAGGTACACATCATATGTTATTTCCGTATATTTTATGTACCATTCGAGACACCTCGGCACTACATATTTTAGAAATGAAAGCCCATAACGAATATGTTTAGGCAGCCATGTACAGGTTAATAAAGAAAGTAGTTACCTTACTGACTATCAGCCTCAAAAGTTAGTAGGGTAAAGTAAATATTCCCCAATTAGAAAGTAATTGAGGGAACCAAATATTACCCTATGAAAGTAGCAAATTACTTTAAAGTTACTACTTTTTTGCAGTGAGAATATACATAGGCCTTGATTCAAGTCAAGCCAAAGTCAAGTCAAAATGTGTTTTTATTTGTAAACAAGATGTTAGTTAATTATACTCATTCAGACGGGGGTCCCAAAGTTTTCAAAGAAAACTGTTTAAAGGGATACTACAACGAAATGTCGGCGCTCATTTTTTGGTCTATATATGTTCAAAGGAGCAGTATCACATAGAACATACCAATATTTTGTTAAAAAAAGCCTTGAATAGGGATTTTAAAACCAATTAAACGATTAGCGAAGAGCACCTGGTGGATGTCGCTAAAGCCTCGCTTGTAATGCCCGCCTAGGAACCTTGACAGCTAGTGACATTGAGTGTCTCGCCTCCGGCCACGACGAGAGAAGAGGGGAAGGAGGAACTCCCCTCTTCCCGAGAATGCCTTTTGCGTGTCGCAGAAGTCGCAATTGTCCCCGTACAAGATTATAGAAGATAAACCCGTCACTCAAAATTCGTACAAAAGCAGCCGCTTCGGTGGCTGGAACGACTACGTCGTCCTCTCGACGTCAGCCTCGCCGTAGCTTTGCTCGTCCCGAGACGACCTAGGTCACGATTGCGTTGGATGTCACGTGATCTCCGCTTGGCCTTCTCCAAGCGCTTGCCAGAGCGGGCCGTTTATAACGAAAAATGCAGCCACCAGGCTCGGACTACAAACGTGCGAGTGTCATTTACGGATATTGTAGATTATATTCAACCTATCTTTGAACACGACGGGAATATTTCAATTTTCGTTAAAGTATGCCATTAAGGGGCCCCTTGGTAATGAAGGGTTAGTCAACGATCAAGTTGGCACCATTATATATAAAAATAAAAACAAAATCTTAAAGGAAAACAAAAACAAAAAAAAGGACGAAACATGATTGCGGTATGTACATAATCCAAATATAAAACCAAGTGAAAAGAAAAAGAAGAAAATCCAGGATGTCAAGGAAAAAAAGTTTAAAGATATAGAATGATGACATGGCAGTTAGACTGTGTGGTAGGAAGTTCCACGTTTTAGTAGCAATGTAAATGAAGGTGAACGTGCCATAATTAGTTCGTATGTATGGTACAGACATGTGAACGCAGAGGATGCATGACATCTTGACGAGTAAAACTAATTGAAGAGCATATGTTATCTGATTGGTGATGAACTTAAATGTTAATGCTATACAATAATCTAGGCATTGATTAACTGTTAAAATGTTCAAAAAGCGGTATGCGAATTGAGCGTTTTCACGCCTATTAACAAATAGCATTGCTG